TTCCCAAGGATGCGCTTTATTCTTTAAATATTTTTTGTTTGTTAGCTTTTTAATGTTGTTCTTTAAATATTTTTATAGGACTGTTCTTTTTCATGGATGCAATATTTTCTCATCTTTGGGAGCGCCGTAATATCTGTCTGAAATTTTCCTTCTAATGTTTCCGGTTGTTTGAGACCCTAACTTTCATAGAAGTGGCTTTTCTCATTTTCGTGGGAGTCGTTAACTCTCAGCTCATATTTAAGAGAGGAGCAGCCTGAAATCCCAGTGTGAGCAGGAGGAGCGAGGGACTGAAAAAGTCACTCTGAGGCTGTGTCGCTGAGTAGTTTCATTGAGGAATCCTGGACGTCATTAGTTTTTGCTTTATTTTTTTTTCCAAGAGCCACTCCTTATTTTTATTTTTTAAAATATTTTTATTGAGAAGCAAACATCAATGAGACAGTTTTACAACTGATTACTAGTACATTTTCAATAATTAATACATTGCATATTGTTGTCTTAGTGGTTATTCACTGTACAAGATGCAGACCTGGTATCCTGTCTCAAACACTATTAGAACAAATCTCTCTATTCATTGAATTAAGAGAATGGAGCTGTATATCTATCCTAACTATTGTGAGTATACAGAAACAAAATGGTCATTCATTTGTATCCCCCTTTTTTGCTTAGTTTTGTCAGAGAAGGGCATTCCATTGTCACTTAAATACCTACAGTATTTAAGCAAAATACTTAATTCAGCAAAATATCCCAATATAGTCCAATAGTCCATAATAGTAGTGGGTTTTCCATAAGACTGTCAACATCCAAAGTTGTTGACATGAGCATTTTACAGCTCATCATATTAATATGGCTTTACTTTTTATACTTCATTTTCATACATTTCTCCTGGATGGCTAAGACCAAGAAAGAGCAAGACCTATATAACAAGAAATGTAACTTTTGTATCTGATAAGGTCAGTCAAATCCCCTCAGGATTCAACCTGAAACCCTGTAGTAGTTTTTACTTTTGTTGTTGTTGTTGCTTACTTGTTTTGAGGCGACAAGACTTTCAGACTAAAAGGTCTTTTCCAACATCCTCCCTGAGACATATGCTGAATAGTCTGCCCAGTATTTTGTTGGCTAAGTGAGGCAGAGGCTGCCTCGACGTCCAACAGGAAATATGTCTTTAATCCCTCCCTGTTACCAACTGTGTGTCACCCCTTCACTCAGAGGATAAAGCCTCGGGCTTCTGCTGGGTAGAAGCTGATCTTCATGGTGTTGGGAGCAGGACACAGGATCTAATTCCTTCTTCAACAGATACGTCATCTGTCTTTCCACTTTCCCTTCACGCTCCCTATTTCTGGACATAACCAGTGCCACCAGGTCCTGTGTCTTCTGGTGGAAGAACCTAGTTGGCACCATGGCTTTCCCCGCTGCTGCCTTAGGTTTGTTCAACTTTTGGGATCCTCTTAGTCTCATCCTTCCTTCTCCAACCACCCACGTTGTGCTGTCTGTTTGTTCCTTTTGTTCTCCCTGTCTTTGTGGGTTTTTTAAAAAATAAAACATAAGATGAATGTTGTTTTGGTAAGGATCCATGGGAGCGTCAAGGCTGATGGATAAGCTAAGCTGCTATTCTGACTGGACATTTCATGGCCTGCTGGCTCCCTTGCCACACCTCCATCCCAGGGCGGCCCTCTGCACTCTCTGTCCATGTGGGTGGGCTCTTCTGTGCCAGGTCACGTTGACCCTGCCAGACTGGTTCACTGTGTGAATCCACAATGGCAGAGTCCCACACTAAACCTTATGGTCACCCTCTCCCTTGGGCCATCTCTGACCAGCGAATGGACCTCGTTCTGCTTTTTAATGTGGACCAGCTACTTAAAGGATCAGCATCTGATGCTGCACCTAGCTCTGTGCTGCTGTGAATAAACCAACAAGAAGCCTCATGGGACAAAGTCCAGAGCTGTGATAAGATCATTCTGCTTACTAGGCAGGGACAAGACAGAGGGCTGGTGGCCAACGTAGGTCTCGCATGTCTGTTCTTCAGCTTTGAATGCATCTGGTATAGGACTTTATTCATTTGTTTTCTGTGACCTAAGGTTGGGAAACTGACTCTGGTGGGTCTAACTTGTATCAGATGCAGTCACATTAGGGAGTACTTGTTATTTTTATTTATTTATTTATTTATTTGGTGGAACTGGGGATTGAACTCAGGCCCTTGCACTTGCCAGTGAAGCGCTTATTCCACTGAGCCATCTCCCTGCACCCCAGTACTTGTTATTAACTTGAAAGAATCTGTGCCTTTTTCTACAACTGGGCCATTTATATTTGTTCCCCAGGGTGTTCCTCCTGGAATGTCAAGCAAGAGCCAAACCTCATAGTCTCAGATGCATTCTGCACACGAGAGTCTACTGGACCGAACTACATAGTTTCCATTTACCCTCCAGTCTAACTGTGTAAGATCTCGTGCCCATTTTAGAGATGAGTACACTAGTGAGTACATGATTCAATGAACTACCCAAACTGGCATGGCCCATGAAAGAGAAACTGTGCCAGATAATCATGTTTGTCAACTGAACTGGGCTGAAACTCAGAAGGCGTAACTGAGTCATGGAAACATCACAGAATGGAAGTGGATCCCCAGATGCTGCCTTGGGGCTGCTTTTCCCTAGGCTCTACTCCCCAGCCTCCTCCACTAGACCAGCTTTGCTCCAACAAGCTTACCCATCATATTCCTTCCTCAGATTCAAGGATCATAGCCTGAGACCTCTGAAACCATGAGTCAAATGCAGCTGGCTCCATTGGAGGTGCTGAGCAGTTTTTCCCCCAGTGATGGGAAATCTGACCAATATAGAAACTCAGAACTCTCTGGCTCCAGTGGCTACAGGTATTTTACTGCACAGAACTTGACCACAGAATTACACAGAGGATAAGAAGGGCTGAGAAGAATCATGACACAGTGGAATTTAGAAGTCAGGGAAGGTCCCTTTCCAGAGACGTGCTGCTACCTACATCATGAAAGAAGAGTTTGGGCCAGTGAAGAGCTAAGTAACAGGTGTGGGCATTGTGAGCAGCATTTGTTGTGGTCCCGAGTGACAAATACATGGGCAACCTTGAGAAATGGAGAGGCTACAGGCTAGGAGCCCACAGAGTCCCAAGGAGCCCAACACAATACTGGGTGTAAATGGAAGAGGAGCTGCTTACTAGGACGACGCTGCTAGGCAGATCACAACGGAAGTCTCTCAGAGATAAGCTGGCCAAAGCTGGGCTTGGACTGCACTTGGGCTAGACAGGTATCAAAGAATCCAAGGGCAGTGACCTAGCGCGGCGGTCTCCGCTCCGGGCTCTGGAGCGTGAGGTCGCCGCTTCGCGACCCCGTCCCCACTCTTTTTATTTTGGGGCTGGGGAGATGGCTCAGTAGGATAAGCACTTGACTGGCAAATGCAAGGATCTGAGTTCAATCCCCAGTTCCGCCAAAAATCCACTGTTCTGTCTTCACATGACTTGTAGGATGTGCAGCCCTATACATCCTTTGGATGTTTCTTTCCAACATAGCTGGCTTTCTTGCACTGGAGAGTTCCCAGCTAACGATTAGCTAACTGGGGTCTCATTGTTTTGTTTTGTTTATAATGTTGCATTATCTATAAAATCCTCCAGTTTGAATGATCATTGATGATTAATACTCTGAGGACCAATAAACCATAGTTCTCTAACTTAAATGCCCATCACCTGGAGAGGCAATGAGGAAATGTAGACAATGGGCTGCAGACAGAACTCAGAAGGCCCAGCATGTGCAAAGCTCTGGTTTCCATCCCCCCATCACCACTCCAAAATAACACACATGCACACACACATGCACACACACAAACACACACACACACACACACACACACACTCACTTGGTCCTCTAACTAATTAACCTACTGAATCATCAGGTTCTTTCTAAGCTCAACAGGGTATTACTTTTTTTAAAAAAAAGTTTATTGGTACATGTTTCCAGCACATAATAATTGCATGAATTTAGTGGACTTGGTATACATGTACGTCATATCTTATTCATTTTTGAACCCCTTCCCATGGTTTCTCCACATTTTTACATCTAAGAAATGATGTTGTCTCTAAAACATGGTCATGGCTTAGCATGTGTAGTAATATGACTGAGAGCATTTTTGTTTTTGCTTTGGCTTGGTTTTTGTTTTGCAGCACCAAGGTTGAACCCAAGGCCTTTGTGCTGAGCTGTGTCCCAGCCCCTTCCCTCTTGTACTTTGAGACAGGGTTGTACTAAGTCACTAAGTTTCCCAGGCTGGACTTGAACTTGGCATTTTCCCATCTCTGCCTTTCAGAGTGTTGGAATTTCAGGATTGTAGCATCATGCCCACCTTTTTTCCTTTCTTAGTTTATATGCCCAACTTTCCTTCTTGTATTATACACAATAACAGTGCCATGCAAAATCAATATAACCCAGTATTTGAAAAAAGGAACCGTGTACTTAGGTAAATTGGTAGTAGGCAGGGGCCCTCCTCACACTCCCCCCTCCCGGGGCAGTGCTGCACCTCTGCCTCACCAGTCCTGTTCATCTATTATGATTCAGCTCAAAGTCACCTCCTCCAGGAAGCCCTCTACATCACCCCAGTCCTATCATCTAATGCAGATTCAAAATCCTTTCTCTAAAAAGGTAAAAATGGAAACAATGCTTTTGTAAATGGGAAGCATATGAGGAGTTAAAAGGGCGATGGGGGAAAAAGAATCAGGTTATGTCATACACACATACAAATTCTCTATGATGAATATGATCATTATGTATATCTAAAATGTACCAATAAAATCTTTTTTTGTTATTATTATTCTCTTGATAATAATAATATTATTATCAAAAGGGTCTTGCTATGCCACCATGCCCGGTTTTGGTGCCAGCATGGCAAGCTCAGAAACCTGAAGCTGGCACAGCATGTAGTGCCAGGGATCAGACTTAGGTCCTTGTACTTGACAGGCAGGTGCTTAGACCACCGAGCTCTCTCCCCAGCCTACCAATAAAATCTGATTAAAAAAACTTTTTCTCTGGGATTCTGTACTCACCTCCAATATGCACAGCATGCTGTGTGGCACTGTCCTACAAGGCCCATCCCTCCCCTATGAGACTCTCAACTGTATGCCTCTGCCCTTCTCCTGCCTGGCCCAGAGTCTGATATAAGGATGGAAGAGTTCCACACCCTACACAAGAAGAGAGGCAGGGCACAGCTGTAGACCAGACTAAGAAGGGTGTCTGAAGGGAAGGCCCTAGGAGATCTCTAGGAGTGGTCCTGGTGTTGGTCACTCAAGGCTGCAATGAAGGTCGAGGATATGGCAGTGCTGGGATCCCCCTCGCTCCTCTGGGTAGATCTTGTGGTGGCTGTTATTCAGCTATACCTGTGTTGGAATGTCAGAAGGCCAGGGGTCTAATTCCACATTGCCCTTGATAATCAGCCCTGGGCTCTGACCCAGCAGATGCCCAGATTCTCAGGAAGAAGCAGCTCACCCCTGTGAGCTCTCACAGGAAGCCCTGAGTTTGTGGTTTACACCTCAGAGCTTCCTGCCGGGGCTTTACAAGGGTTAACACGTCTACAGAATCAAGGGAAGGCAGGCAGGCAACGACACCACAAACATGGTGCCAGCTCTTCAAAGTAGGCGCCTTCCTACAGCCTATTGTTAGACCTTTATCTGAAAACTGTTTCCCACACACTCAGATCTTCCACAGTACAGCTGGCATGACTGCTAGCGAGGTGGTCTGGTTCTTAAGGAATGGCGAGTTACTGTGACACTTAGGATTGGATGGAACCAGGTTGTTGCCTCTTAGTCTGCCCTTCTGGGTGTCAACTGATGGACCCCTAGTGCCCAAAGTACTTCTGTAGTCTCTCTTCAACGATAACTGCGTAGATCATCAGGACCACATCCAAAAGGCCAAGGAAGTGAGTGACAGATGGCTGCTCTTCTGGCCTCTTGGTGAAAGGCAGGCATGGGGGCTTCAGGGCACCACAGAAACCTACACAAAGGCTGTCTGCAGCCGAGACCCAGGGGCATGTTCTGGTCGTGGTGGTGAGGACTCAGGCAGCTCAGGTGAATGGTGGTGACTAAATCACACCTCTGAGCCTCTTTTTCAATCTGCAGCTTCCTCTCCTAGACACGGGACTCCTTGTTTTCTTCAGTGAGCAAACACCAGGGTCAAGTTAGAACCTTTATTTCATTCCTACTCAAGGACAGAGGACCAGAGTCCTCCGGGGCATATGGGAAACCCGAGTCCCTCAAGCAGATGGGCCACCTGTAGGATGAGCAGGCCCAGTAACCCGCTGATGCATCACTTTTGCACAGCCGCTGAGAGGGAGGCAAGAAGACTGCTAAGACTCTTAGGGACTGTCACTCCTCTCCCTAAATTCACACTTTGTTTTTCTCTTCTTGGGGTGACAGAGGTCTACGAGGAAGCCGAAGATGCTGGGCCCCAGACCACGTGGCTGAGTTGGAAGGTGCTGTAGCCCACAAGCCTTGTTCAGGAGGCCATCCTGTCTTATGTGCAGAAACCACCAGAAGAGAGCATGGACCTGCATGCTGAGGTGGTGAAATCCACAGAACCTTTTATTGGAAAGGACAGTTCCCGTCATCTTTAATGAGAGGCAGGGGACAAGGAGTTTGCTGCAGCCCCGTGGGGAGGTTTTGGTTGAACTCGAGGTTTGGGTAGGGGAGGGCCTTTCTGTTGGCGAACTTGTGTGCCCGATGGAGGAGGCCTCCTCTGATGCCGCTGCTGGACGTGGTGGACGGGAGTCAGGGGACGATGAGGAGGGGCCTGGGAGCGATGGCTAGGTGGCAGGGGCACGCGTGCAGCTGCTGGAGTTTGAGTTGGGGGCGCCTGGATGTGGACGGGCCTTGGGCACTCTTTCTTGGAGCGGGTGCTTAGCTCCAGCTCCTCATCTGCAACAAGAAGACCTGTCAAAAGCTTGTGCCGGCAAGTGTGGTGTGTGGAGCTGCCGAGGGCCTCCGAGGTGTGAGGCTCCCTGCTAGCAGCGCTGGGGGTGCGAGGGGAAGGAAGCTTTCCTTTCCTCCAAGAGCACTGGGTCTTCTGGGGAAACAGAAATGCTAATCACAAAGCAGAGCAAGCGCCTGGGCTTTGGAGAACTCAGGAAGCCAAAGGGAAGAAGCCATGGGGAGAGGTTAGGCCAGGGCTCGGTGCTGTCCTAGGGTTGGGTTATGCCCTGAGTGCAAGTCTCATAGGTAGAACCCATGGGTAGAAGGTCTGAGTGGTTATGGGGCCCATTAGGAACTACGTTCTCCAATGGATCTCTTAGCAGAGCTGTCATTTACCCCGTTCTGTTGTCACACGACCTACTTTCTGCCAAGAAGCTGCAGTGCACACAAGGGGCCTTTTAGCCACTGGAACTTTACCAATTCTTCAAAATTTCATAAACAAGACCCAAGCCCTTGGGTTTACAGGGCAAGATGACTCCTTTGCTCACTCTGGGATTTTCTGCTCTGTGTGACTTTCCTCCATAAGGACAAGCCCTAGTCTAATCATGATATAGTTTGTCCTGCGCTGCTTGAAAGTCACACAAGAAATCTGTGAGGATGCCCAGCTGCTGCAGGGCTGCCTCTAGGCTACAGGTGAGGCACCCAGTCCCCGAGTCCAAGGCCAGCCACACTGGCTGCAAAGGGAGCCATAAGGAACAGATTCTCCCCAGGGCCAAGTGAAGACCTCCCGCCCTTTACCCACCCTCTCCAAGCACAGCTCCTCTCTGAGAACCCCCCGTAGCTATGTGGCTCCATTAGGCAGCCTTGAACATGGAGGCTGAAGGCCAGAGAAGGTGTCACATGGTCTGTGCACGGAAGAAAAAGCAGGACACATCATCCATGCCATCGCTGGTCCTCCGCAGTAGCTAAGCTTATGCCTGGGAGGGCGCGGAGAGGATTTTGCTCCTGCTCTCTGTTCCCAGGTGTTGGGCAGCATGTGGCCTTTTCTGTCCCATGTGGCAATCTGGGGCAGGCCATTTGCTGATTAGTTGGATTGCCCAACGTTTTGTTCATTTGTTCCTCCTATATTTCCTCCTCAGCTCCTAGGTGTTGGGTGCTATTACTAGGTAGCAGCGATGACTCAGACCCAAGCACTGTTCTCAGAAACCCTAACATCAAGCCTGGGAGATGAATCAGAACTGCAAATCACAGTGTCAGCCTCGAGGCAAGCCCACAGCCACCAAGAGGTACATAGAAGGAGACTGTGAGTTCTGGGAGCAGGAGTGGGTATGTGGCCACGGGGCCAAGTCCTCCAGTTGGGTTGGACAGACAGAGGTAGCCATGGCTCTATACAGTGTTCTCCATCAGAGTAAGACTACAGTCTGCTGCCTGCCTCCGTGCCAGCCCCTGCTGCCTGACAACTGTGCCAAGGGATTCCTCCAGGCCCACGGGACCCCTTTTTCCATTTGCACCTCCTATCACCAACCCAGGGCTTGGAGGAAGGTGAAGCAAGCAACGCATAGGACATAAAATGCGAAGAGGTGCCCACACTTGGGGTTCTACAAGAACAAGGCAAGAGCCTCCTTAAATGCTGCTCCCTGGGTTTCCTGACTCGCCTGTTGGCCATCCAAGATTTGAGGCCAACAACCTAGCCTCGCTGAGCCTGTGTTTTGCATCTGGATTCAATTGTCCGTCTCCTAAGATCATGAACGGCTGGATGACACAGTGATTCTAAAACACAGGGCTTAGTTCCCGGCCCAAGTGACTGCTGAGTCAATGCTGGCTAATTATCGCACTGAGGGTTTCAGCCTGGTGGTGGCGGGCACTGCTCTGACTTGAGTGGCATGTGAGGTCTGCCTTGAAGCAATGCCTGGTCACATCATGCCAGGTGATGAGAAAGGGCCTTCATATGCCCTGGGGTAGAGAACAGCCTGGGTGAAACACAGTGAGGAAGCCGCGGGACCTGGGACCCAGCGTGGGGTAGAGACTGGGAGGAGCTACAGGAGGGAGAAAGGGCCTAAGTAAGACATGCGGCTAAGAGGGGCAGCCTAACACGGTGACTGAGGGGGACCTGGGAAAGATGTCTGAAGGAAGGAAGCCACATCCAAAAGGCACAGGGTGCCTGGCCACCACTTGTAGGGTCCTGGGCCCCTGCTGGAAGTGCTGATATGGGTGTTGCCGGGCTTACTCCAGGGAGAGACCCAGGGCAAGGGAGCTCAGCCTGCTGCCAGTGCGGCCTGCACAAAGCCAAGAGCTCGCCCATCCAGTGGCCGGCCGATACACAACTAACACCCACCCACCCACCCTTGGAGACACCTGGTGGCTCATTCCCTGCTGTCTTCCATTTCGCGTGGCCTGGAGGCTCACTGAGCTCACCCTGCTCTGGACATAACCCTTTCCTGCTCCGTGGGTAGGCAAGTGGGCCTCACCTGGGGAATCAACACTCCCTAACAGGCCCTCCTGGACTTCATCTGGAAAGAGGAACTTGATCTCCCTGCTTTGGGGGACTTATTTGTTTATGCTGCTAGAGATTGAAGCTAGCACATTGCACCTTGGCAAGGGCTGTACCACTGAACTACACTCGCAGTCTCAGGACTGTGTTTTGGAAGGATTATTTTCCTGTGCCTCTCTCATGGGCTGGCATGGTTATGCCTGGGTTCTAGGGGCTTGGTCCTGAATACTTTGGGCCACCACCCACTGGTGGCATGTTCACGCATCGGTATGGCCAATCTTTTGCTGTCTGTATGGAGATGTGTGGCCCATTCAAACCAACCTTCACACCCGCCTAACACCAGGTGGATCTCAGCGGGCGGACCCCAACAAGGCCAACCTTGATGTAGCTTCTCTAAGCTTTCTCCTTGTCAACCTGTTTTGTTCTGGTTTTGGTCTGGTTTGCTTTTTTCAAATCATGCCAGCCACAAAATGGAACAAGCCATCACCTCGGGTTTCACCCCGACATTCTAAAACTGCCCATCTTCTCTGCCTTGTAGACTAGAGGTCTCTTCCCCATCAGATATTTCCATGAAGATTTATTGTGGCCTGTAGTGACACAAGAGGGGCAGCTTACCATGACTCCTGCTATTCTGCTTTTTCCTCCTGCAAATGTAGTAAATGCTGAGTGCCACTAGGATCACCAACAGGGTGCTTCCTCCACAGAGGCCAATGATGATGTACAAGTTTAGGCCTTTCCCTGCAAGAGGACGAGACATGGGATGTGAGAAGGAGTCTTGAGTGCAGAGGCCACTTCACTGCTCAGGCCCAGGCCCGCAGCATCTCCCACCACGCACAGGACAAAAGCTTGAGGGGTTGGTAGGACTTCCGATTTTTATGAAGACCAAGCTCCTAGGCAGAGCAGAGCTGTGTCAATCCCCGCAGGGCTCCAGGGTACAGAATGAGCCCCTTCTAAAGCTCCCTGGGAGATGGATCTCATGCACTACGAATGCCTGATCATTCACGAAACAAAGCCTGGCCACTGTTCCATCCCCCGCCCAGTACAGCATCACCAGAGGAGTTTAGAGATAATCTAGCACAACTTCTAGTTTCAAAGACCAGACCCGGAGAGAAAAGGAGAGGTCCCTGCAGCCACACAGTATCTGTCCCTGGGTGGCTCCCTGAAGCAGCCCCCATCTCAGTGTCTCTGCTCTGGGTTTCTAGCTCTCATCCCTCACTTCCCTCCTGCACCAGGATCCTTTCTGACCCTCCTGACTGAGCAGTTTCCAGACACTCAGGGTGTATATTTCCCTTGTGCAGCCCCATCTCCTCATCGTAGGCCACTCTTGCAGACTTTTGCCTGCCCAACCCACAAGAGAAGGTCACATGCATGCTGAGCTAGCAACAGTGACCTGGGCCTTCAGTCCCTGGAAGGCAATAAGCAAAACAGCAACTTCAGTGTCAAGGGAAATAGGCTTGGACACCAACTCTTCTAGGTAAGGGCTGTGTGGCCTTTGGCAAGCTGCTCTGCTTCTCTGAGCCTGTTTCCTTCTTCATAAAATGGAAACAATGAAACTACATCACAAGGCGGCTGTTGGAAGCCAATCAGATAATGAATGTGAAAGTGCTTTGTAAACCGTAAAACAACCCACAGATGTAAGGTCTTGCTTTTTCTGGCGCTCTTTCCACTGGTGTTTTTGGTAGCTGTTTCCCAGGCGGGGCACTGGGCCTGCTGCCCTTTGTAAGACAATAGCAGTTACAGAGGAGCAGCTGGGGCTGGGGTCAGGGGGCTGGCAGGTGGGGAGTAGGAGCTGCAGTGGCTCCCAGCATCACTGAGACACTGTTCCGGCTGAGCAGCCCTAGGAAGCGATTGCACATAAAACCAGGATGCACCCAGAGAGCAGACCTGAGGCTCAGAGACCAAACCCGGCAGGGCTTGCCTTCTTCCAGTTTCTCTCTGACCCCGTCTTTGCCTGCACTGCACCCACTCTATGTTCACCTATGAAGAAGCGTCCTAGAGATACTCAGGCATAAGGCGAAGCCATTAGAATTGAGTAAGAAAGGAGCTGGGTCCTTTAGGGTCTGCTGGCTTGGAGGAGTGGCAGGAGCTTCTCGGAGCCCATCTCCCACTGAGCTGAGGATTTCCAAGGTTTTGGGGTCAGTGGGCCTGGATGAGTTGGGGTGCACATGTCTAATCCATGCAGCCACTGGCTTGGCTTCTCCTAGAGTCCTTGGACAGGCTGCCCACCCCCCTGTCCTGGCACAATCAGGAACACAGGCAATACCTCCCTTGTCTGTCCTCAGAGCTGTCCTGTGTCACCCTGGGCTTCTGGTGGTGCTCCAGGCCGAGACAGTCCCTCTTGTCTCAGAAGCAGCTGTGGCTTTGTCATTCAAGCATAGGCCCACACAGTCTCTATATCCAACTACTCCTTTACACTTCCTCTTGGCGACAACGTGCCCATGAGTTTAGGTGGTGGAGAGTACTTCCGGTCCAACCAGGCTCTTCCTCCTGGTATGTTAAGGTAGTACATGCCCATCCCTTATTGGAGCCGGATGGTTAGGACTTGGTCATTGTTCCTCTCTGCCTCAGTCTTTTTTTTTTTTTTTTTTGAGATTTTTTTTTCATTTGAAAGTAATCTTAATGCTATTAAATTTACAAATATGCTAATTTAAATACCCAATCCTATTTTATCTAAAACACACATTGCAAACATACAAATGTCTATTCTCTCCACATGTCAGTGCCCATTTGTATCATGGTTTGAAATGGGAGAATAGATTTTTTCCCCTTAATCTGCAAGTCAGTAGGTATTTCTTTACAGTTAACTTTAGCAAAATTCATACAAAATAGTAATTAACAATGATCTTCTGTACTTGTTAACTCACAAGGAAACACCTTCAAAACTGCATTTTGTTAAAGTTTCTGTACTAAAGTGTAGAAAAACTGAACTACACAAATATTGAAAAGTTAAAAATTCCTTAATTTTTTATTCCTGGTACCACTACCACAATTTACAGGGCAGTATACCTGATGTAATGAAAAGAAAGAAAAAGACAAAGCTACAACAGATAAAAGACCTCAGGAATGCACATCTAATTGATGCTACATTGCATTAATCAATAGCTGCACTTTTTGCAAACTGTGGCTGTGACAGCCCTGAACCAGAAGGGTTTCCTGTTTAAGCTGCAGTAACTTTTCTGACTGTGGATCATCGTTCCTTCTGTCTGCCTCAGTCTTTTAGAATGAAATAACCAGATACCTTTAGGGTTTTCAAGAACCGCCCCTTCCTCCTCCATCTCCCTTAAAATCTTCCTCTCACTCCTCAGGGGCCATTCTTGGGATCAGCTCCTGCTCTGTGCCATGGAATAAAGCACACGCACATCGCTACCTTTGAATCTTACTGTCTCCCAAGGTCTTTCATCCCTCCCTCCTCAGTACACCCACATTATTACACTGGTAAGATCATGATAAAATAAATACACAGAGTTGGGTTGTCGGGCAAAAGACAGGACAGCCAGTTAAACGTGAACTGCAAATAAACAATGAGCAATTTGTGCGTAACTAAGCAATGTTTGGGGTGTACGCAGGCTGTGTTTCTGTCTGTTAAATCAGACAGCTTTAAGCAAGGGCAGCCTGAAAGGCAAAGGGAGGTCACAGAATCCAAAAGGGAGCAGCTTCTGTCACTGCACTTCACAATGGAGACTATGGAAGAGGGGCCAACGAAGAGGTGCCTGGCCACATCAGGGCAGGCAGATACCCAGGTGGCCTCCAGGAGGCCCAGCTTCCTGGGGTCAGGCCTTGTGTCACCCCCTTAATGGAGTGTGAGTCAGACTTGCTGACTCGCGTCTAGTGATTAAAATTTAGAGCGATGTGACACGACTCCTGAGATGGAGGTACAAAGAGACGGTGGCTTGTGTTCTGAGCGCTTATTCTTGCTCTCTCTTGGACTGCTTGCTGGGACACCCACTGCCACACTGCGAGGCAGCTCCTCGGCTCATGCTGGGTATTCCTTAAGCTTGGACACAGACCTGATGGTTCATTCCTGTACTACCTTCTTTCTGAAACAAGACTGAAGCCCAGAGAGGAATGAGTTCCATCAGGGTTACTCAACTGCTCTTGGGCAGACCCAATTTCCAAGCCCAGCCCTCTGCCTCGAAGGGAACCATCGCAAGCCACTGCTCAAACGTTACTGCTGGGAGTCCCGGCAACCCCGGGGGGGACACTGGGGAAAATGAAAGCCTGAGAGTTTACGGAGTTCCTGGAGTGAGTGCCTGTGCCAAGCGGTCCTCTGTGCAAGAGAAGTATGGCCTAACTGTGTCCACAGTCTTTGTACCCCTGCCCCCCAAGTCCCTAGGAGAGGGACCTAGGGCAACTCAGTGCTCTTCTCAGTTAAGACAAGGTTAAGTAAAGCCATGGTGTTATGTTGAGCTGTAGGGGACTCAGGTCAACATTTTCTGACATTGCCAGTGAAGCGGAAGACCCAATACTATTATGGGCTACTGGACTCTTTTAGAATATTTTGCTGAATTTACACACCTATAATATTTAAATGATGAAGCTTAACTTAAAAAAGGGGATACAGATGAATGTCCATTTTGTATCTGTGTATTCAAAGTGGTTAGGATAGATATATAGTTGCATTCTCTTAATGAATAGAGGGATTTGTTCTAATGGTGTTTGTAAATAATATATCAAGCTTCTTGTACAGCAATTAACCCCTAGGAAGAATGTATGCAATGTGTTAATTATTGAAACTGTCCTACTAATTTGGTTTGAAACTGTCTCATTGCTATTTGTTTCTCAATAAAATTATGGGAAAAAAAGATGAGGTTTGCATTTGACCATCTCCTTGCAAATTCCTTCCCCCAGGGAAGATCTCTATCTCCATGAAATCAAAGCGAGGGAAGAAATTTCAAAGACAGGAAATGTGCCATTGGTGGCACCAACTCGAAGGCTCCCCTTGACGGTGTCCAGGAAGAAGAGGTACACTTTCACTAATTATCCAGAGTCAAAGCAGACTCCCAGCCCCGGCACCTGCGCCAAGGAACACCCGTGGCACCTGCCACGGTGCCTGCAGGGCCCGCCAGCTGCATGAGAGGTACACTGCAGACATCCTGACCCACGCCTGCCACGCACCTGAGCAGCTGATAACCCCTGCGCTGGATTCCTCGCTGACTTCGTTCCTGGCCGTGCAATTGAAAGCTGTAGGCAGTTTCTTCCACCAGTATGTGAAGACTTTCCTGGGACCATTTATGAGATATTTCCCATTTGGGTACAGGTTTAATTTAGGGTTAGTTCCATTCACTACCTCACAGGTCAAGGTTTTGTTGCTACAATCCCAGGAGATCCGTGGTGTTGAGACCATCTCTGGAAAGAAAATAAAGATCTCATTCTTACTGGGCAATTTTCCTATTTTTATAGACATCCTATTACATAGTGGGAAACAGGTTCAGTTTGGAGGGAACCAGGGAATAATTTCAAACACTCCTAGCAATTTTCAGACGTTGTTTTTATTTTACTTTATTTACATACTTCAGAACAAAATCATTTCTGGTAAGTTCACAGATACATTGTATCAGTAAAAATATGAACATATGTCTCATATTTACACTCTGTGTGTCCCTTAAAATGTTTTCCCGGGCTCTTATTTCTACCAGAAAGGCTGCTGTTTCCTTCCTATTGACAGAGGAAATATCCCAAACTCTGCAGGCTGAATGAGTGGTCTCAGGTACCCCCTGTAAAAAGCGGGGATCTAGAGGGAAGCCCACCCTTCCTGCCGAGGCCTGGAGTGCCGGTGGGAGGATCCCGACCCCTACTTGCCCAGGAACCCAGTGACGCTCCCCCAGCATCCAGGAGCACAGCCCTGGCTGTCCCATCTGTGGCCCAGAACCTCAGCCGGCCTCCTTCCCCTCCCCCTCCAGCTGCTTGCCTGAGAGTGCAGGGTGCGAGGAGGAGCCGCTCTGGAAAGGAAGAGTGCAGCCCCAGGGGCCAGAGCCCAGGCTGTGTAGTCAGAGCTGAGCTTTACTACACCTTGTCTTTAAGAGAGCGAGAGAAAGTTCTCCACCTGTTGCCAGCCCTGGGCAAACCATCAGTGCTGGTTCTTAGGTTTGTAGCTGGAAACTCCTTGCCTCTTCCCTCCCCTCCCTTCCCCTCCCTTCC